TAAAATTCAGTCTCAATTTCCTCTGCGATAAAATTTTGGTATTACCATATGTCGGGTATAAGCTGGTCTAAGTTGACTTTAAATGAATTAAAAGACTTGTGTATGTCTTGCGGCTTATCTAGTGTAGGGAATAAAGAGGACTTGAGCAATAGGCTCCAGGCATATTTCGGGAAGAATAAAGGAAAGGCTACAGACAAGAGTGGAGTAGGGGATAAAGAAGATTTGGATGATATTATTGAAGTACTCAGATTTGATGCTGATGAAAAGGATTGGAATGATAAAAGAGATGCTGACCTTGAGGTGGATGACGTGCATGCATATTTGCAAGAAGTAGACAATAGAATTAAAGACAAGTTAGTAAGGTTGTTCCTGAGGAAGAGAGAAGGCTGAACAAATAACAGTTGATATGTTTCTGTCGGCGATGGGTAAAATTGAAATAAAGATAGAAAGAAATTTTTCTGCTCTACATAGGGAAATAGAGGAGTGTGATTTATTAGATAAAACGTGGCCTAAGGTTAGTTTGTCGAAGCCACATGATCAGCATGAGTATGATTTCTTGGTAAAAATCGGCAAACGTTTAGACAAAGCAATAAAGGTAGTACCAACGGCTATTAAAAAGAATCTTAATGATATTAGAGATAAAATCGAAGCCTGAGCAGCTATACTAAGGTTAGCTGATAACAGGGTTTGGGTACAGCATTACAAATAGTTGGGAGTAATGACAAAATGATGGAAAAATACAAGGATCGTATTCCATTATTTAGCCAATCAGGTGCGGCCTCATGCTATTATAGTCGGAATAAGTCTGATAAGTCATATAGGCATAAGAAAAAAAGATATTCCTCACCTTCGTCTGATTCAGAAAGAGATGAAAGTCATAAGGGTAAAAGGAGGTATAATAAAAGCTTTCAATCCTTTCGTGACAGAGGAGCCTTCAGGTTCCCAGAATGTAAAGGAGTTTTTAACTGCTTCAACTGTGGAGGCATTGGACACATCACTTCTAGCTCCCTCTCTGCAGGTTCTAGAGCCCCTACCAAGCCAAAGAATGGAGACTAACTACACTCGGACACCATTTTCAGAAAAATGTCTAGTGTTGGGTCTGGGGAAGGCAGAAAGTCAGGTGTCAGTGGTGGGAAGGATGCAGTTAGCAGAAGCTTTGAGTTATTGGCAAGACAAAATAGGGTCATCACCGGTAGTAATAAGTTGGTTAAAGAATGGGGTTCCATTGTTTCCAAGGGGGGTTCTTTTACTTGCAGCACAACAAACCCCAAAACAGTACATATTATCAAGAGACCAAGAGGAATGGATACAAAGAGAGTTGGATCATTTGTTAGCATCCCCAGCAATAAAGGCATTAGGAAATCAAGTGGAGAGACCTATGTTCCTTCTGGAAGTGAGTCCTGTCTTTTTGGTACCCAAAAAGGGGCCCAAAAAATAGAGAATGGTTATAGACTTAAGGCGTTTGAACACCACCTTATCCAAAAAGAAAGTGAAGTTGGAGGGTCTCAGAGGTCTTCTGCGCACAGTAGGTATAGACTGGTATGTGATTGCATGGGACCTAATGGATGGTTACCATCATGTGATGATGGAGAAGAGCGCACAACAGTTTCTTGGGTTCCAAATATTGGGGAGCTGGTA